AAGTATTGTCTCATCATTACTGCTGCATTCAAACATACTGTTTCTCTGCCTTGGTTTAATGTTAATCAATCCCCATCAAACATAAGCTCTAAGGGATCAATGCTAAATTTCCTGACAGACAGACCAAAAATCTTTCTTGGCATTGCAGCCTGAGTTTTAATAGGCAGAGAGCAGGCCAAGGGCCTCATTTTGTGTAACCTTTAAGCATCCTAAGAGAACTGGAAGAAAAGAATGAGCTGATTAGTTGTTTGAAATAAGAAATATTACATTTCTTCACTGTTTATGTTAGAAATGACTGCTTCTTTGTTCTTCTCCATCCAGGATCAATGCCATGTTAAACAGACACGCACACATATATAACCACTGTGCATAATGTGTTTATGATGGTTATGATTGCAACTTAAAAATGTTTCTATTAACTGAATTCAATATAAAAAATAAACAATGCACAATATTATTTTTAAAAGGAAACAAAAAAGGAACTAGAAAGAGAAACATTCAGGGAATATATTCATGGATGCACATGCCTCTTTGAAAATTCTACATAAATATTTCAATAAATGGTGGCTGTCTTCCATTAGAAATATCCATCGCTAATCTATGCCAATAAGCCATTCGTGTTGCTAATAACATCAGTCTGCAAACCATGATTGCAACAATTAATATTTTGAACAGAGACAATGATGTTAAGACTGGTCATGCAGAACTTTAAGTACATTTCAGTAACCACACTCAATCCCTTACTGGAACAAAATAAGTGAATCTCAAGCCAGACACAGAACAATAACCATCTAAGGCCGCTGGCACTTGATATGTGAGCAAATCTATGCAGAAACCCTCATGTTTCTTGTAAACATTGCAACCTTCAAGCACCCCGAGCTAAGCACAAGTAAAAGAGCCACACAGTCCAGGGGCTCACAAAAAGTAGCTACCTCCTACTGTTTACCTGTTCTATATTCTGCCACTGAATGTTCCAATTAATAATGGAGGTTGATCAGGTCCCCTCCTCTCTGACTTCAGCTAATCTGGTTAAGTCTTGAATGTCTAATGGAGGCTCACATTGTGATGAGTGGACCTAAATGGACCCCAGTAATAGACCTAAACCCTTAAACACTCATTTCCTTCTCACTGTGCTGCTAAATCTAAAACTAGATCATTTTCACTAGAGGATGTTATATGTCAGTACTCTTCTTAGATCACTCTTTCCAAACTGCATCTGATTTTATCATCCTCCCTAATTCTGTATTTTTTCAAATTTATATTGCGTGTACTTGGTTTCAAAGGTTAGCAGGTTGCTATGGTTGGTACTGAACTAAAGCAAGCAATGTGGTTTAAATGTGTGATTCTTTCTGTATCTCAGATAGATTCCTTCCAGCTAAGCTCTCTTTCCCTTACAGTATTTAACTAATGTCCGAGGATACCACGGGAAGACTTTTAACAGCATCTTGAGCTCCTTTTTGGAAAGAGGGGATACAGATGAAACCAAGACCTTTAAACAGTTCTCTTTGCCAACATAGTTTTAGATGTCCTCTTTCTCCTAAGAAGCCGGAGACAGCGTTACATTATCCTAACAATTCTCCAAGGTAGGTTAGGCTGAGCAAGATGTAAATTAAAGTATCCAAGCCTGATTTTCCAAATTCACTGCAGTATTAGATAGATAGATAGATAGATAGATAGATAGATAGATAGATAGATAGATAGATAGATAGATGCTGTTACCCTTCCTGCTGTCTTCCAGATGCACTGGACATCAATACTCAGAATTCTTATGCAAGCTGAGTATTATGCAATACTCAGTCCAAAACATCTGGAGGACATAGGAGAGAGTAAGGTGGTGAATGTTTAGCCCAACTTTCCCTTTATAAATTCTCCAAGTCTCTCCCCTCTGCATCTGTTCTTCCAGGATGAAAGCATACCGTTGTTCACAAAGACCCCCCCCCCACTATAAACACTCCTTTCCCCCTTTGCCCAGAAGCCTCCATGTGATTAATTTTTATTGATAAAATCTGTATACTGTTTCAGTCTAACAGGACCTATTATTAAATAATATGGATCCACTCCCTTAATTGGGAGTGCCTGAAGGAAGAACGCTTGCCTACAGTGTCTGCACCCCCTTTGGCAAGAAGCTCAATGTAATTTAGGGGTTCTGAATTTGAAGTCCCCCACTATTCCTCAGCAACCATGGACAGGGAACCCCACATCTCATTCACTCCTGTGGAGGCCCCCCTCCATAATCAGATGGAGTGTCCCCTGTTACAATGCACTGGCCTCAATCCTGTGAAAAGTCCCCCCTTATTTTGGGGTGCTGAAGCCAAGACCTGTCCTTGAACAGGTCTTACCTGCTATCATCATAAGGCCCCCCATTACTCAGGGGTGTTCAGTTTGAATGAAGCCATTATTTTGGGGTGCTTAATATGATCCTCCCTTATTCCAGGGTGCTGAAGCTGACATCACTCCTTGAATGCCCCCTCCTGCAGCCATTATATGAGGTGTTCAGTAATAGGAAGCCCCCATTATTTAGGGCTGTTTCACAGTATGAACTCCTTTAATCTGGAGTACTGAAACTGAGATCTCTACTAGAGCACCCCCTCCTGCCTGCCCCCCAAGGATACCCCCATTATTCAGGGGAGCTTCATGTGATCTTCCATTATTGGTGTCTATGAACCCCCTCTTTCTGGTTGGTCTCTGCTTGAGTCCCCATGTGTGCCCCCCAAGCCCTGAGAAGTAATAAAGGGGGTTTATTACATGGAGGACCCCATGAGCCCCCTTATTCTGGGGTGCTGAGCTAAGGCTTCTGCTGGAGTGCCCCCTCCTGCCTGTCCCTCCAAGCCCCCCTTTTATTCAGGGGTGATTCATACTGTGATCTTCCATTATTGAGGGGCATTTATGAACCCCCTCATTCTGGGCAGCCTCTGCTTAAGCAGCTCCCAAGGCCCCCCCCATTATTCAGTATATAATTCATAATGTGGTCTTCCATGATTGAAGGGTGCCTATGAAGCCCCTTAATCTGAGGGGCCTCTGCTGGAGCCCCCCGTGTGCCCTCCATTGCTCGGGGGGGGTTGCTATATGGACCCATGACTGAGGGGTGTCTATAAGCTCCCTTATTCTGGGGGGCTCTGCTGGGGTCCCCCCCCCTTCCCCTCATTCTTCAGGGAGGCTCAGTTTCCTGGAGCTGCCATTACTGAGGGACATCTAGGTGCCCCCTCTGCTTGAGTCCTCCTGCCTACCCCCAAGGCCCCCATTACTCGGGGGATGCCACGCCTGAGGGGTGTCTATGAACCCCCGTATTCTGCTTGAACTGCCCCAAGACCCCCCATTATTCGGGGTGATTAATACTGTGATATTCCATTATTGTGGGGTGCCTATGAACCCCCTTTCTCTGGGGGCCTCTGCTTGAGCCCCCCTGCCTGCCCCCAAGGCCCCCCAATACTCAAGGGGGAGCCATGCCTGAGGGGTGTCTATCAACTCCCTTATTCTGGGGGGGCTCTGCCGGAGCCGTGCCTGAGGGGCGCCTGTGACCCCGTACTCCGCGGGGCCCCCGCGGGAGCGCCCCCTCTCCCTCTCCAGGGGACTCACTCCAGGCAGCCCCGCGCCTGAGGGGCGCCCGTGGCTCCGCCCCCCGCGCGCCCCTCCCCTTGGCCAAGATGGCGGCGGGCGCGAGGCTCCCCGGCGAGGCGCGAGGCGCGGCTGCTGCTGCTGCTGCTGCTGCTG